GTGAAAAACGTTTAAAGTTTTGGAAGCCGATTACGCGAAGTTCAAATTTTCGGAGAATATTTTCAAATATCTGTACATTCGATATATAAGCAAAAACAATTTTTTAAATTCACAAGTGGATATAATCTCTTAAGTCAATTCAAGCTAAACTTCCCTATACACATTATTATTATTTATTATTTTATAATTTTGTACACCTGTTTTAACATAAAAGCACCGCAACAAATTAAAAAAAATGTCTTCACCATTATTTCAGTTTTTTCCTACACTCTCTCTGCGCTAGTTTGAGTGTCTACATACATATGTACATAAATAACTTTTGTGAATCGCGAAAATTGTCCATATTTTCAGATATAAACGTGCGGTGGCTTGGCAAATGCATTTTCTTCCCACTATATATATGTATATATAGATACACATATGTATGCATGTATGCACAAATACAAACTAAATGTGTATTCATGCATATGTATACATACTTACGTGTGATGTGTATTTATAAATACAAAAGTGCACGTCCGGAAAATGTGCATATGCAGTTCAGTAAAAACTTGTGTTTAATGCATACACACACCCACACTCACACATTTACGTAATAATAAATTATTGACCAACAAAAGTTAAGGTCAAAGAAACTGCTTGTGAAGGCCAATCAATTGCAATTAGAGGTGTACCATGAATAAAGTTCTTTGTATTTATGTTTGTAAGTATCTACTATAATTTCTCTTTTGACGGTCAGAATGCGTAATGACAAAGAAAGACAAGGATAATAGATACAATATGCATAAATGAAGTAAAGTTGTTTATGAAAGTAAATATAAGTAAAGGACGACACGGAGCACATATGTAGGAGGTAGGTTGGCAGTGGGCATATATAATTACATTTCTGCATTTAACGTATTATCTTGTCTAATAATGTATCCAATAAGACTTTTAATTTTTTTGTTTAAAAAAAGTACTTAAAATATGGAAAAACTTGCGCTGCACCGCAACTAAATTACCCTTCACAGGTGCAATTCTTATAACATAATGTGTGTAAAAAGATTTTTATATTGATTTTGATCGGTCAGTTTGTATAATAGCTATGTGCTATAGAGGTCCGATCGGAACAATTTGTTTGGAGATTGGAGCGCTGTCTTGCTCAATAATCTATGGAAAATTTCAAGAAGATATGTGATCATAAAAAAGTTTTCCATACACGGACTTGATTTGATTGATCAGTTAGGCAGCTATGTATGTGCTATAGTGGTCCGATATCGTGTAGAGGAAAGGATAGGTGCAAAATTTCAGATTGATATCTCAAAAGCTGAGTGACTAGTTCGCGTATACACATACATACGGACAAACGGTCATATATAGCTAAATCAATATGTATATACTATTATACAGATATATGTATGTGCATATGTTTTTTTTTCTTCTAATAAAGGGATACGCGTGATTTCCCCATCAGATTTCATAACAACTGATAAGAAAATAGTGATTTGTTTCGAAACTAAATGCATTTTTCATTCAATTTATTATGTCATTATGTAAAAGATTATTTTTTACTACTTATTTTTTACTAGTCAACTAGAACAACTGATAAGAATAATCGCATTGATCGCGATGATACCCTTAATGTAAGAAAATATTACTATTAAAATTATTTCAGAAATATTAAATGAATACCAGCATAGTAATGAGGCGTTTTATCACATAGAAAAGGATCTGGATTTATAAACGGTTAAGGACTACACAATACGCGAACATTGAAAGATATTATGAGCGAGAGTTTTTTTTTAACAATTTCATTCCTATACAATCTATTTTGTATAAATTTTATGCAATTTTGTGCTTTTTATAGGAATGTTCGTGGTAAAAAATAAGTAAACACATTTATTTATTTTTATTTTTTATAATTTAAATAAAATTTTACGTGTATTCGTTAAAATATTCTATCCAACGTATCACCAGAAACGTAATCGGTACTAATAAATTACAACAATTATCGATAAACGCAAAGACCATACAAAACCTACACTATTACCAGAATTTTATTATATAGCGAGATGAACTATATATTTAAATAGTTTTTAATAATATACGAAATATTTATAGTTTTTGAAACGCAATAAAAATACCGCAACATTAAAGTTACCCATTTTTCTCCTTTTAGCATTCATATTCCCATTCCATACATACATCAGTCACACTACTATGTTTCATTGCCATCGTTTCTTTTTAAAACCGCTACTAACACCAACTACTTTACTTATGTTTATACATGTGAATTTCGAGCTTGTTATTTAACCATATTTGAGTAAACTGAAAATATGCAGAACTGTATAAAGTTATGCCGTATTGTGCCATTGATTGGTAAAAGTAGTCGCGGTATTAGCACAACAACTCCACTGGAAGGTAAACGAAATTTTCGCAAATTTCAAGTACCCAACAAACGGGGTACACGCAGCGTCAAAGAAGCACAAAAAACATTAGCAAATCCTCCAGTACCTATTGATAAGCGAGGTGTACGGGACACGGGCGTTACCATTGATGGTAGATTTGTGGAGATACCAGAACGTATACCCGAATTAATAGTACCGGATCTGACTGACTGCAAGTTGAAACCCTATGTATCATACAAATCACCAGAAGTAATTCAATCGGAGTTCACCAGTTTGGATTTGTTCAATGCGGTTTATTCTAAGAAGCTAATTGAAGATTTCAAAGAAGGAAAACTGAATGATGATGGTAGTCCTGTAAACCCTTCAAAAGATGAACAGTTGACTGCTGATGAAGCTTTAATACGTGCACGTAAAACCGGTACAGATATATTCTAAAGCGTATATTCTCATGGTTATTGAATGCAAATTAGCATGGTTACTTATCCTAACATAAGCTACAATTACTCCTGATAATATCTTTGTCGGTAATTATATAGTTTGCGCAACCATTTTTCAGCCTTTAAATCTGCATCGCCAATGAACTGTAATGTGTATAAATTAATTAAATAAAAGTTGTTACTGAAAATAAATTTTTATTTACATTTGGGTGGAATATTTTCTCATCGGCATTAGTGTCTTTTGATGCATCGTTGGGTTTTGGTAGCTTCACTGTTTCCGACTCCAAATCAATAATCACCTTTTCTGGTAGGGGTTTCTTTTCAGGAGCTTCTCTATCACGTGTGCTAAAAAATGTTTTTGGTTGAAATGCCTCCTCTTCAATGGCGTCCAAGGCCTTTCGCACCTGTGCGTCAATAGCATCTATACCTTTAAGTGTTGCAACGGCCACTGCAGCGGATGCTGCTGTGCGCGAATTCTCTTCTGAACTAGGTGCACGCGTACTTCTCGCTTGTGAACGAGATTTGTGTGAATTTCGACTACTACGACTAGCAACAGAATAACTAGAAGAGGATGATGAGCTGCTACTGCTTGGACTGCGTCTTGAGTATTTTTTTGACTTCTTTGATTTCTTGCTTTTTTTCGAACGACTGCTACGGGAGGGTGATTTGGATTTTGAATGATATTTACGTGCGTAGTGACGATCTCGGTCCCTTTCTCCATATCTCTCGCGGTCACGATCACGATCACGTTCACGGTCGCGGTCCCTTTCCTTATCTCTATCCCTTCCACGGTCGCGATCTCGATCACGATCTCGGCGGGAGCTCTTGGATTCACTCTCCCGCATTATTTATTATAAAAATAATTTTTACCGGCAAAACACAGATTTCGTTGTGTGGAGAAAAATGTGTGCAGAAATACATTGTCAGTCGATGTTGCCATATTTTTTTACTTAAACGGACTGTTTTCAGTATCAAGTCATATCAAAGTAAATAAGATTTTTCACCAAGAAGACATATATTGTTAAATAAAATTTTATGATAAGCTTTATAATTAGTACTCTATATTTTATTTCATCTTTGTTGCACCCATATATTATTCATTTTTATTTAAGTGTCATCATCCAATATTTACTCCCATTAATCTCTCTGTTTTTTAATCCCATTACTTTCCGAAGTATTGGCAACGTCAGCATAGCAACGCCGCCATCGCCATTTTTCTCTATGTGAAAATTTTTATCAGACGAATTGAGTTGTTGCGTGTGAAAATATAATTATAAATTGAATAGAAAACTTGGATTTTTAACATTTAAAAACGCGTTTAGCTTGCCAAGAAGAAAAATGCGCGTAACCAAAAGTGATATAAGCTTAGAATTAGAATGCTGGGTCGAGGAGTTATCCCCTGCACAATTAGCTGCATATGAGAAGGTGACCAACGAGCACAATGCAATTAAAAGTGCATTAAAATCGGCATTGACTAGCAATGAGGGCCGTGAGCTTTTCAATGGACAGGTATTTCAGGCGTATTCATTTAAGGGTAAAGTATTACAGGAATTAAAGGAGGTCACATTACCACCGAAAAAACCCGCTAAAGTTGACGCACCTTCAACGCCAGGGGGCGGCACACGCGGTGGAGCGCGCAAACGACCATCAAACTTTGTATATTTAGAATCTTCGGATGAAGAGGAGGACGATGTGCCATTAGCGAAACGAATTGCTGTAGCTGCAGGCAAAAAAGGTTTAACGCCTATTGCTAGTGGTACAGCTGGTAACGGTACAAAGGGACTTAAAGGACAAAAGGGCTTGCAGCCCTCCAGTTCGCCAGGCATAGTTGGTAAAGGTGGGAAAGCAGGTACAACCGGAAAAGCAACAACACCAGGTAAAGGAGATAAAGGCGGATCACCTACAACACCGCCAACAAATTTCAAGCCTTCAGAAATTAGTTCCGTTGGTGGTTTGGTTATCGGTACGGATGGTAAAGATGGCAAAGACGGCAAAGATCAAGGTAAAGAAACTAAACTGCAAGGCAAAACATTCCCATCTTTGGTGGTGTTGGCCAAACCTTGGCTCAAAGTCAAAGATATGTCAATTACACGTAGCAAGTTGGATTCAAAGGTAAAGTTGGTGCTGATGTTGACGCCAAATAAGTTCACTGAATGGCTTATACAAGAGGGTCTGTTAAAAGCAGAACAAAAGTGCGCAAATCATCGTTCAAATGAGTTAAAATTGGGTGAGTTTATTGCAATATTTGTAAAAAGTTAAAAATATATTAATATATAATACTTAATGAAATTTGTTAAAAAAAAAAATATTAATTTGAGAAGAAATTTTTATTCTATAAAATCTTAACTCTTTATTTCACAGGTGTTTATTCTGATGCCACAAAGTTTCCCTACACCGGCGGTTATGTTTGGATTAGTGAATGCTGTCCAATGCGTTTTGTTTCTGTATTCCACGGTTCCATATTTGAAGGCGCACCACACCCACCTTCATGCATACTCAAATTAATATATCATTGGTCTTGTCAGACAAACATACAAAACGTCGTACAGTGGGTGAAGGTAGACAATGTGTATATTAAGGGTGTTTACACTTGGCTGCGTGCAATTTGCACTTTGGCAGTGCATCAAAAATGTAAAAAGCTAGGCGGACCAGAACGATTTGTAGAGGTAACTTAAAATTATTATTGTAAAAATATTTGCTTTTAAAAATGTTGCAAAATTTCATTCTGCATAAATGTATACTTATATACGTATTTTAAAGGTTGGTGTTATCTCGTTGGGCACCACATCGCAGGATGGCCAACAGCGTCAAGTGAAAGTTGAGGTTTTAGGTGTTCTTGATTACGCAGAGAAAACCATACGACTACGTGCTGTAGAACCGGTATCCGATGCTGATCGCAATTATAAAAAACGTTTCCAGACTATTCTCGAACCACTGCAACGTTGGGTACATAAAGACAGTGTTATTTGCATCGATTTAACTGTTGATAAAATGACACTATACTCCATGGGCTTCAAAAACATCATACAAGCTGCCGCAACCGATAGCTCTGCCAAGCACACCAACTCTGCCGTTATGGATTACTTGCGTCGCATTGTGCCACGTATGTTTCAGAATACTTTGTCACTGCTGTCGCGTCAAATGATACAACAATTTTTGGATGAATTAGTTTGGCGTGAACAATTCGGCACATATGCATTGCAGGCTTTCAACAACATAACCTCACATATTGCAGAGCAGACGCGTATGAACACTAACGAAACGCTGACGCAACGCCTGTATCAGGTGCGTAGTGTGTGCATAATTTGTGCGCCTAAACATGCTATAACAACACAAATTCATTATTTACATATAAATATATTTCAAACAGGTTGCAACAAATCCCTTCAAAGATTGGAGCGTGCTGCCAGCCAATTATAGAGAGACGCCAGCAAATACAACACCAAAACGGTTGAAAAAACGTTAGTACCCAATTTTAGCACTTAAGGATGGCGACTATTTTTTAACATTTGCACAAATGTTTTGGCGGCAGTAACGCCAGGACGTATATATGCTGCAATTCATTTTGGAATAATATTTAATGATTTTTATTTGACTAATGTATAAATTTTATTTATTTTTATTTCTTCGTTGCAGCGCTCGTTTAAAGCCGCAAGATGCAAGTTTTTATTGCTAAATCATGTCTTAGTTTTTGCTAATGTGCTTAAACCTCAGGCCTTATACCTCAACTAGTTGCTAAGTACCACTCGCAAGAGCAGTATAATGTTTAGTCATTACATTTTGATTGAGCGAAAATTGTTGCAACGTTATATGTTACGATATTTCTTTAAAATATTTTCATATTTAGAGTACAAATTCATTAAATAATTTCAATTACTTAAAAATTTCATAATTTGTGCTAAACATTATAATCTTAGTGTGTGCTGCTTGAAGGTTTCATTCCAAAACAAAAAAAAAAAACAATTTTTGTTACAAAAAAGTGTTACCTTAGATTTGCATACAATGCTAAACTTTAATAATTTGCCCAGTCTTTAATTGTTACTATGTTTTTTCACTTAATTTTGGAAAAAACCTTCAATATTGTTCACGTTGCATAATTGCTATGTAATAAAAAAAAAAAAATTAAGTCGTATTTATATACAAAAAGCATAATATCTTATTTATAAATAAGTGTAGTGAAGTTAAAATAATGGCTATTTGATTTTAAATAAAATTCTTGTTTTATTAAAAACTAAACAAACAAGACAAGCTTTTCTATTTTTATTTTTGGTGCATTGACGATATTTACTCTTGGATTTAAAAGTTGTGATTGTTAAAAAAGTCTTCATAGAAAATCTTAGAAAACATACTTAGCTTGTGGTATTATGCTTTTTGTATGCGATTTTAACGCAAAATTTGTTAATCAAAATAACTGTTGAGCTATAAGGGCAAACAATTTGTTTTGTTTAGGAAATAAATATGTAAATAATAATAGGAATTATTGCAGATCAAACTAGAAGTTTAGCTAACAAACAAAGATTTTTTCAAACTCAGAATTTTTTTTACAACAATATTTAGTTCTTCAGATGCAAAGTGCATCTACAGTGTTCTCTCTAGCTTACCACAACTATTTTTGAATTTCAACCGCTAAAGCAGTTAAGACTACAATAACTAGTGTTGATAAAATTTTCTAAATTTCTATTAAATTTTATTTTACTTTAATCTTGCTTACAGCCATCAACGAAGCTGATTACGTTCAACCGGTCAAAGTCAATTTGAAATCTATTAAGAAGGAGAAACCCGATACAACACGCCATGACACTTCATCGCCAGTTACAAGTGGTCGACGCGGACGTCACGCAGCTGCTGCTGCTACTGCTGATGATTACAAGGCAGAAACGAAAAAATCCTCCACAAAAAATAATAGCTCGTCAACGAGCAAAGCGCCACCAGCGACAAAGTCTTCATCCTCTAAATATCATTCATCTAACAATAAGTCCGAGCTCAGTTCTAGCAAGAAACTGCTTGTCGAGGCCAAGGTAAAAAAGGAAAAGGATGTTGATGACGATTTAAGAGGAATTGAGGAATTGTACTATGGTGTACGCGATGGTTTGGATGTAAATTTCGAGTGTTTTCCTTACAAGAATGACGATGGTGTTGTTGTTGAGGCCACCAATGTTGATTGCCCCATTTGCGATCTTAACGAATCATTCGATTCAAATGAGAAGCTACAAACTCATTTAGTCTCACATATAATTGCCGATAAGGATCATCAATTCCAATGTCTATTCTGCCTGGATAAACATCCCAGCGAGTCGGTGCTCACCAAACACAATCAAATTATGCATCCACTCGAAACGAAGTCAGCAGCATCGGCTTCTTATCACTGTTTGATTTGTCAGCAACGCTTCAATTCGTTGCATCATTTAACGGTGCATTTGCAGAAGATGCACAATATGTTGGAATTGCCATACGCTTGTCAGGCATGTGGCTATCGTTCATCTTCACATCGTGATGCAGTGCGTCATTTCTACGATGATCATAAAAGTCAGAATTTCTTGCAATGTCCATTCTGTTTGGATGTGAGTAGTGCAAAAAGCTTGAATTTTTTAAATTACATAGAATAATTTTGGTTTTTATTTGTTTACTCTTGGGCAATTACAGATTTTCCGCTTCTCGTATAAAGGACGTGTTAGCGTTTCTAACATCGAAAACTATTACATGCATCTTCGTGCCCATCTTAACAAGAAGGATATACAGTTGCGCTGCCAAAAGTGTGCGCTCAGCTTTATTGAAAAGGGTAAGTGTTGACAATTTTTTAGAATTTTTAGTTTATACTTCATTTTATTTGATTTTTAAAATTTTTTTTATTTTTAATTAAAAAAAATTTTTTTTTCTAATTTTTTAAATTTTTTTTATATATTTTTTTTTAATTAAAAATTTTTTTTGTAATTTTAAAATTTTTTTTAAATTTATTTTTAAATAATTTTAACGCTTTGTATTTTCAGGTGCA